TCCTGTTGCTGTTTCAGATTAACAAGCACGCCTTCTCGGGAGGCAGGGACACCATTGAGGAGCACAGGAAGTACGGAGGCAACTGTGACGTTGACGTGTCCTTTATGTACCTGACTTTCTTCCTGGAAGATGATGACAGGCTTGAGCAGCTGAAGCAGGTGAGTAACCAAACTGCTCACAGGGTTATTCATTCCCTGCTCTGAGGACAAAGCTGTGCCTCAGTCCTCCTGAGGACCTTCTCCAGGAAGGTAATTTTGGTGTTATTCTCATGCTCTCCATCCCTTTCAAGTTTCAGTATTAGTATTTCAGTTTTTGTTTCTTTGCAGTGTTATTTCTCACAGGCCAATCCATCTCCTTTAAAACAAAAAAAATCCCCAGTGTTTTCACAGGAATCTCCCACACTCTGTAGGACCAGTATCTTCTCTACCTTTCAAATGAGGTCACCTTAGGATAAGTGTTGCTTTAATTGTATAATAAACTCTGCCTGTTCCTCATTGTAAAGTACCTAAACATTCTGCAAAACTACAAAAGCACATGTCTAAAGCTTGCTGGGTTTTGGTTTTTTATCATCATCACAAGAAATGTAATAGCTCTGAGGAATTGATTCATTGATCCCAGGCAAAAACTGCTTCATATGTGTTGCTTTTTCTTTAAGGCTGTCTGTCAGACTTCTGTCTCCAGGGCTGGTAGCATGCCACTTCCCTTCCTTTCCTCACCACTACTAGGTGGTGTGTTTTCTCTGGAAGGCAAGAGCTGCAGTAGATAACACCCATGTCACACTGGTTTATCAGCTTTCTCCTGCTGGGAACAGCTGCAAGAAAATCAAGAGCTGCAGATTCTTCTCCAGCCCTCTACTCCTTCCCACAAGAGCAGGGTTGGATAGCTACTCTTTTCTGTGCTGTTGTAAATTCCTCATGGAAACCTGAAGCACATTTGACTTAAAGAGATTTTTTTCATTGATCTCCAACCACTGCAGGAGTGTCAGCCTAATTGTGCTGCAGAGCACAAAGCCTGGCCCACAGCTTGCAGCAACACTGCAGTGGTGCCTCAGAACCTGGGTAGAAAACGTGAGCTCACCCACTGTAGCAGCATCAGTGCAGCTGCTTCACCTCTAGCACCAGAGGGCACTTCCAGAGAAAGTAGCATTGGTGTTTTTATAACAAATTAACAAGCAAAGAAAGAACAGAATTCACAGAAGGACTAAATTGGAAGAGACCTTAAAGATCATCGAGTCCAACCCAGCCCTAACACCTCAACTAAACCCTGGCACTGAGTGCCACATGCAGTCTTTTCTTAAACACATGCAGGGATGGTAACTCCACCATCTCCCTAGAGAGCATTCCAGAACTTTATCACCCTTTCTGTAAAAAACTTCTTCCTAATATCCAGCCTATATTTCCCTTGATGCAGCTTGAGACTGTGTCTTCTTGTTCTGTCAGTGCTGCCTGGTGCAAGAGACCAGCCCCCACCTGACCACAGCCACCTTTCAGGAAGTTGCAGAGGGTGATAAGGTCACCTCTGAGTCTCCTTTTCTCCAGGCTGAACACCCCCACACAGACCTCAAACATACTGACCTCAAACCACACCCTGAAATTACAATTCCAGGGTTAACAATTGTTCTTGTTAATGTATTTTACTCTTGCTGAGTGAACATCAGCAGCATTTACACTTTGAGCAGGTGTTACAAATGGCTTGATGATGAGGGGAGGCAATCATGTTTATTGTCATTTCAAATATAGCTGAACTGTCCCAGCCATGGTTGCTAAATGTGGCTGAACCAATAAATTTGGCCTGTGCTTCTAAGCTAAAGCATTTCAGTATTGAGCAATGGAATGGATTACCAACTGTGAATATGACTACAGTGTGAACATAGATTCTGAGTGTCTTTGCTATAAAAAGGATATTTTAATCACCCCTAGTCTCTTAGCAAATGCAGTGAGAGAAAAATATGAGAATTTGTACCTGTTATTGAGGAAAATAAAGGCTTAGACTGTTTATTTGAACTGGGATTCTGGGGAGGAAAATTGCAGTTTCCTGCAAGTAATTACAGGATTTCCTAGTTACACTAGTGAATGTAGTTTATTCAGTCCTTATAATAACTTGCACATACAAAGTTTGCCAGCTACCTTAATGTTTTAACAGGCAACAAGCAACTCTGCAAGTTTCATTTTCAGAGTGATACCAGATAATCTTCCGAGGCATGTACTTACTTTTAAGTAATCCAAATCTGTCTTTTAAAGGAATACTGATCACTGAGTCTTTTTGTGAATGACACCATGTTCAGCAACCAACACTTTCTTGACAGGCCTACACCAGCGGGGAATTGCTCACAGGAGAGCTGAAGAAGGTACTTATTGAAACAATGCAGCCCTTGGTAGCAGCTCATCAGGAGAGAAGGAAGCAGGTCACAGATGAAATTGTGAAGCAGTTCATGACTCCAAGGAAGCTGGCTTTTGAATTTTGAAGAAATGTGTATGTAACTTAGCACTTCATAATCCACAGCCAAGTAATTGTTGTCTTCTGTTGTGTGTCATCACTCCCTAGTTATGTACAGCCTGTAATCGGTGCTTTATAAATAATGAGTAAATTATCATGAACAGCAGAGTACAGAAGAAGTTTAAAATAGGACTTGGAACTATTTAAAATCAGAATATGCAAGACAGAATTGATCCCTCTTTCAGGAAAGCATGTATGTCAGCCCAGCATTGTATTTTAATGTATTTCATGTTGAAAATATAAATAAAATTTCCATTTGATGATAAAGACTAACTTGGAAATTGCTTTAAATATGTTGGTAAGAGGTCATATATCTCAAAGTAATAAATAGTAGCTCCATTTTCTTTTGTACTCTGTACCTTGGTTTACTAGATTGTATGTCTTCTTGGGCTGCTGAGAACATGCTGCACACAAAAAAGTGGTGAATGTTACAAAGTGGGATCAGTGCAGAAAGAGTGGACACCTGTGAGCTGAACACTGGAGAAAGAATATCAGACTTGTCTTGCTGTCACCTTCCTCTTGGACATTGGGCAAGATGCAGAAATCTCACTGTACTTTTTTTCTGGACCTTTTTACCTGATCTGAGTGCCTCTGGAAAGAGGAGGTCATCAGGAAGCTGTCAGGTCCTTGATATTCTCAGGTGGAAGATAATATAGAAATGCAAATATTAGTTTCTAAGTATAAATAACAAGTGTTAAATCAAGATGTGGAAATTGAACTCACACTGGACACAGGGATAGTTTTAGTACTGTCTGCTCTCTTTCACTGCACCAGGAGGTTTAAACTAGGGATATTTATTTTAGGATGTATTCCAGTGAGAAAATACATTTTGTTAAAATACCTCATGTAATATTTAATTATCTCCTTTCTTCAAAAGAACTTCAGTGTCTTCACTATGATTCCTGGAAGAAAAATCCAAATTATTAGTTATTTGTTTTGATCTAAACAGTGCTGAGTTCAAACTGTTAGATCTGTCTTGCATAGAATAGAAAATTGCTAGCCCAGGTATAGTCTAGCAAAGATGGTTTTATTTGATATAGATAACACAAGTGGGTTAACCTGGTTATGTTTGTTCCAGGAGCCAAGGAAAAGGCAGATGTGCAAGGCAAACCAAGGCACATTACACAAGTTTCAAACTTGTGCTGGAAATAGCAAGGCTTATTAGCTTTTGTCTTTTCCTTTACAATTTATGTGAGCTGACATTTCTGATCTAATGCCATTGACTTCAGTGAATTAGTGAAAATGTTTCCCAGAGACTGTCTCCATAACCCACAGGCAAAACATCTCAGTGCCAGCAAGGGCCTAACAATGAGTAGAAAAACTTTTTTTTTTTTTTTTCTAGAAGTAGTGGAACAATTCTTAGGGGGAAGAAGCAAAGAAGCAGCTTCTTAAATCCAGTAATAAATAAGCTAAGTCTTAATTGCTTTGGACTTCAAGGATGACCTTCCTGTTCTTGCAGTCTACTCTTTGTCATCTTTAGCCATACATAAAAGATAAGCCTTAAATTGACTTTAAAAGTGCTTTTACAGACTTACAATGCAAATATATTGCTTAAAATATATGCAGATTTGTTCTGCTAGATTTATTTCATTAGCTGAGAATTTATTTTGTTATTCACCAAAGAGAAATACGCTGTAGGAGAAATGGTGCTGTGTTCTAGTCTAGATAAGCAGAAGGATTATTTTATAACAACAATTGAAATATGTTTTGAAAGTTCTAGACAGGAAGGTGATAGGAAAAGTGTTTGTTTACTGAACAGCCACTGTTTTCAAGTCCTCTGAGGAATTCATACAACATGCTTCTGAGATGGTTCAGTTTCTCAGAGGAGCCTTGATGAATTCCTGACTCTAGTGTAATTATGGTTCATGTCCCAGGAGTCATTTTAAAGGTCAAGATAAGGCAGTTTTCAAAAACACACTGAAATGCTACCAGACATCGTTCATTACATTTTCCTCAATTTGCTCATTTTGTCCATCTCACTGTAATAAAAATGTAGATAAAAGTCTATTTTTGTTTTACTTTTTTTTTTTTTTTTTGAGGCTTAAATTACCACTGCTTTGGTTTTGACCTCTCTTCCTGCCTTTTTATGTGTTGATTTGTCACCTGATGTAGCTGCTCCTTGTTTTGCAGTGCTGGAACAGGGTGCCTTAGAGCCCCCTTGCAGGTAGAAGGTTCAGACTGCTCCCAGACTGATCCAGTAGAGGGTCAGTTGTCCAGAGGTGGCCTGGTCCTGGTTCATGTCCCTGTGCACAGCAGCCAGCTCTGGGGTGGGGGAAGGTCAATGAGACCTGTTTACAGTGACACCTCAGCGGCTTTGGTGTAAACTGGTGCTTGAGTGGAAACACAGTGCTCACCATTTCTGTGCAAAAGCACAGATCCTGAATAGCTTCCCACAGAGCTTCCACAATCCCCAAGAGGAAAGCTGAAACCTGCCTGGATATTCATGAGCATTGTCAGAGCAAACAGGAACTGTCAGCAACATGGAATCTGATCCTAGTGTGACTTCTAAGAGTTTTTGCCTCAAGGCCACCAACTTTGTTGCTGAAAGAAATTATCTATATGAAAGGCTGCAGTCAATATAGCAAAGCAAACCCAATATCAGCACAGCAAATGTGGTACCTTCTTTCTGTTGGCTGGCCTTCAGCTAGCTGGTTTATCAAAATAAATAGTTCTGTGATCATTACAGTAGCTAAAGGTCAAGATAATACAAAGCAGAAAATAAAGCAGTCAAGTGCTGAAAACCAGAAGCTGAACACCCAGGTGTGTTGGGATGAGTGTAGTGAAGTACATAATATGTGTCCTGTCAGTAAACAAAAATTGGTTTAAATTCATGTGCCTGTGTTTGCAGTAGTCACACTGTCAGTTCCTGTACCTGTTGCAGTTTGTGTCAGGTGTGAGTTCTTACTCAGGCTGTCACCCACACACTGTGTAGATGTTTTTTTTCCAGGATTGTGAAGCCCTTACCTTCCTGAAAGAAGCTGCCTAGAGATACAATTTGCCTCTCATGTAGCATTCGTTCAGACCACATGAGAGCTGCTTATAACCTGTTGCTGAACAGCCCGAGGTTTAGAGTTCTCAGCCCCTTGCACTGGCTTCTGCAGCTGCTCCAAATCATATTTGCAGTTCCTCTGTAATTTCTCTCCCTTGGGATCAGCTGTATTTCAGTTACACCCACAGGAGGAGACATTTTTAGTTATCTGAGTGCCTGAGTGTACTGGGAAAGATGGGCTGTTTAATATTCAAGCCTTGGGCTGACCATGAATGGTATCAGTGCTGCCGAACAATAAAAGGTTGTTTAGTCTGTTTTGCAGGCGTTCTTTCACTGTCTCAGTTCAGAGTGCAATGACTGAGAACAAGGCTGGCTGACAATAACATGGCATAAAGGAGTATGATTCCAAACATCCAGGCAGAGCAGGGTAAATCACTACACAGTTAAATGCATCCCTTGTAGAAAGGGTGAGGGTAGTAGACTCTTAAGAGGAATTCCAAACCTCAAGGACATGATTAAGTCTCCTGTTTTAAGGACTTTCTGACTAAAGGAAGTTTGTGCTGACACCCAAATCTGTCACCAGTGTGGTAGGTTGCTGAGGCCATAAGCATTTTGGAGAGAATCCAACTTAGTGTTGGATCTTACATTTCACTCCCCTTAAGGTGACACAGTGTGCACCAGCCTGGTCTCTTCACCCTGCTCTTGGATCAGCTGCAAGAGCTTGAAAGAATTCAGGTGCTTCTCTGGTATGATTGCATGGCTGTGAATGTGTTTAAAGGCCAGTTGAAGGCTTAGATTTCAGGAGGAGTTGTGAAGTTTTTAATGGTCCCTGTGTGGGGTAGAAGAGGTTCCCTTTATTCTTGTCTAGGAGCACCTGAACTCTTTAAACTTGTTGTAGTTCTTTCTGAATGTCAAAGGCAGCTGACACATCCTGTCTGCTGCAAAACTGCAGCCAGTGTCATCAGCTGTGAGAGTGACTGCTGACCAGAAGAGTCCTAAATATGAAAACTCCTTTTAAAATACAGTCAATGCAATCCATGCAATCAATGCATTTTTAGCAGAATCTGAGAGGTTGGATCCAGAATGCTTCAAGTGTTGTCATCCAGGGATTAAAACAGAAGCATATATATTGCCTGTGAGGCAGAATGAGCAAACATTTCTGGGTTTAGGGATTTTCCTTCTGAAGCAATAGCATAGGCACTGGTTTTTCAACTATCTTTCAAGAAAAAAGTAGGAAAAAGTAATGAAAAATAAGTAGTAGGAAGATGAGAAAGAAGTAACAGAAAAGTCTGAAATTCTTTCAAAAATGCACCTTTGGCAAAATACATTTAGCTGCTGCTAACAGCAGCATTTAAAGGGAGAAGAGTATAGACTTTTAAAAGCTGGGAATCTTGATTATGCTCTACAACTTTGCAGCTCTTTTCCAACTTGCCTAGCCCCGCCAGTGCACGGGTTTCCTGGCAGCCTTTCCTCTGCCAAGCAGAGAGGCTTTGCATCCATCCCTGCCCTCGCTCCAGGATGAGAACAGAGCCTCCAAAGCTGTGCCAAGAGAGGCTGTGCCATGGAGAGCTGCTGCTCCATGGCCTGGGGAGAGGGATGATGCTGTGTGAGGGATTTTCAGGGAGACAATCCCACAGCCTGCCTGGCGCTGCAGCCAGACCATTAGCACAGTTATGTAAACAGAGCATGGCTGCCACTCATAGAGAGCAGCAGGGAAAAAGAGGGGACATTCCTGCTTCAGCTCCTGCCAAGGGAATATAATTGGAGTGTGCTTTGGGAAAATTACTGCTGGGAAGGGGAGGTTGCAGCCTGCAGCACAAATGTGTGAGTCACTCACTGAATGCAGTGCAGGCATAGCATGTAAAGAGCACACGCTGGAGAGTGTTAAATCTTACACAAACTCCCTCCAGCTCTTCCTTTGGTTGGGAGGATCATTGTCTGTGCCAGTAGAAAAAAATTACTTGATTTACCAAAATCCCTGCTCAGGCAAACAAATTATTAGGACATAAAAATTCACAAATGTTTCGGGGGCCTAAGCAGCAGCCACAGTCTAAATACCTTAATGAGATAAAAGGGAGGTTTTGTATGAAGCCAAGGCTCCCTGATGAGTTTGTAATCCTATAAGAATAAAACAAAGCCATCAATTGTCAGCTTTGGGCTGAAATGTCCATGCTTCTTATGCTGTCCATCAATTCAACAGTTGTTTGTGGATGTTGTCTTACGAAAAAATAAATAAGATACACTTTGGACAGAGTGGAACAAGCTATTTTTTGTTCATATAATGATCTGAAAATCTCAGTACACCTTCATATGTTACAAACACTACCATGTTCACGGGAAAGGCACGAATGCAGTTTAAACCCAGTCCTTTGAAAAGCACTTTTGCCCCCTCCTTTCTCACACTTTCCCTCACACAGTGGATCAGGCCCTTGTACTTGTGCTGGTCTGATTCATCTACTTGCATGCGTGATTTGATGACATCCATGGGAGTACCAAATCCCCAGGCCAGGACTCCAGCAAAACCACCAGAAAGCAGCACAACAAGGAAACCTGCAGGAGAGAGTGAAGGGAGAAGGGCAGTTCACTTGCACCTCATTCAGCTACATCCATCTCAGATTTGACAACAAACTTTGGTAACTTTATGTTTTTGGGGAGTTATTTTGTGCAGCTTTTGCAGTTGTGTGTTTACAGTGATCTCAGAGAATTTTTGCACATGACGTTTTGAACACCATGTGAAGTACATGAGGTACAGCCTGAGAGCACTCTTCATGAGAGCAAATCTTCATGAGGATCTGAGTGAGGTTTTGTGGGTACCGGGTGATGCTTGCCCAGAGCCTGTTTTCCCTCTTAGTGTGGGACTAATGGATAAGCCATTTTTGCAGGTAATGCCAGATGCTTTCCAATACCCACCTGGTTTATTTCTCCCATCTGGTGTGAGCCAGTCGCACAGAACAGAATAGGAAAGGAAATAGACTGCAGAAGCAGAGCAATCCCTGCAGAGTAATGCAGAACAGCCCTTGTAGAGTCCCCCAAAACCTTCCTCCTTGATGATAACCTTCAGACAGTGCAGAGACCCTTGGTACTTTGGCTTGGAAACAGGCTGATGTGTGCTGGAAGGGCATGGGTCCCTCTGAGTCTGCATCCGAACTTTAGCCACCTCACTGGGGTTTGTCAGCACAACCTGCAACACCAGAGAATGGCATTTTAACCCTCACAGTTAAACAGTGCTTTGGTCTCCCTCCTGTAAATTCTTGTCTCCCAGCTTCTCAGGCAATAGCATTGTCTGTGAGCTCCAGCAAGCTCCAGCCTCTCCCCTGTCTGTGCTGTTCCACCCAGCAGCAGCAGGACACATGGGTGAGCAGAGAGAAAGGCAAGGCAGAATCAACACAGGATATTAAATACCTGTAACTACTTGCTAAACGAGTTGGGTGTGGAAAGAGGGACGTCCTCAGCCACAGGGAAGCACACATCAGGGCACTTGTTTGCATTTGTATTTGAACCAAGACCATCCAGGCTATAAAAATTTAAGCCATGTTGAGTCACTGACTGTAGGAAGCACCTAGAAGCCTGAGCATCTGGACTGCTCTGTAAGAGGATTGTGGCCAGGCACACATTTCTGCCCAGCATGCCATCGCTGTGGTGGGATGAGCTCCACCACATTCACAGCACCTGTGGATGCTCACCCTCATCTGCTGTGGGAGACTGCTCCTGGACCCAGCCTCGGCCCTGCCTGAGGATCCTGCAGATTTGAAACGCAGCATTGTTGCAGACATCTTTTATGAAAATCCTTTCTTAGGATTTTTTCTTCCTGAGAAGCTGAGAGGCTCCAGGAACAAAATGTAAACAATGGTTATCTGCTGCTGTGGAATGCAACAGGAGGATCCGTGGTTGGTCTCATGTGGATGTTTGGATTTAGTGACCACTCACGCCACAGCTGGCTCTCTCTCTGTCTGAGCCAACTGCCTTTGTAATCATTCTTTCCTTTCTATTCTCAGCTTTGCTAGCCTTCTGAGATGAAACTTTTCCTTCTATTCTTTTTAATACAGTTATAAAGTAATATATATATATATCATAAAATAATAAATCAAGCCTTCTGAAATATGGAGTCAACATTCTCATCTCTTCCCTCATCCAAAGACCCCTGTGACCACTGTCACACAGCATCACTTCCCAGGGGTATCCCCTGAGTTTAATCCTGGATGCTTTCACTCTGAGTTCTGTCTGTCTGTCTTACACAAACACACCGTCCAGCCACTGGGGGAGTTTGCTGCCTATGCTGCGTTCTCTTCCTCATCCTGCGTTTGCTGCCAAGGTCTGTGTCATGTTAATGGCACGTTCTTAAGCGTCCTGCCACTCCAAACCAAACCCAGCACGAGCTGCCCAGCAGGCCTGGAGGGGCAGCAGCGAGGGCAGAGCATGACCTCCCTGCAAAAACAAACCCACCAGGTTGTTGCAGGCTCCCCTGTGGCCTCCTGGACCGAAAAAACATTCCCTGCTTTTCCAGCCGCCTGTGTTTGTGAACAAGATCTCATGTTGTGCTTTCCCTGCAGGGTGTGAAAAGTGCATATTGTATGGCTCTACGCAGATATTTACCGTATGTATTTTGATGTGTTGATCAGTAGTGCTGTATTAACATTTTAATAATAAATGTGGTCTTGTAATTAAAAGGTAACTTTTGTAGTTAAAATAAGAACTATGTTAGTGGGATTTTTTTAAGAAAGGAATGAGGCACTCGCATCAGATAGCAGCTACAGGACACCTAAATCTTTCAGAGAAAAAGAATTTATTGCCCTCTTATCAGAAGAAACGAACTTCTTCCCACTTTGAAGGTGCTGTTAGGATTCAGAGGAAGAAGTTGAAGATGACCAGACAGAATCCTGTGTTTGAATGGAGTTTATGCATAATGTATGAAGTGTATGAATATGCAACAGGCTATTGTTTTTAAGAGTTAATCCTTTGTTAACGGGTGTTCTTTTTTGGGATCGTGCTGCCCAGAAAGAGGTACCCGGACATCCGTAACTCTTTGTCCTTATTGTCTCATATTGTCCCAATTCAGTTTGTCCAAATTACTATTACTCTAATTGAATTACTCTTTTTATAACTATTTTATTACTAATAAACTTTTAAAATGTTAAAAGCAAGTGATTGGAGATTTTCACAAGGGTGTTCACCTACCCGGGCAGCGCCGGCAGCAGCTCCAGCCAGAGAAACATCCAGCTTGGACGGCTTGGCATCTGCAGCCCCGTAGCGCAGCTTGCAGAGGGCGCCAAGGAAGTTCTTGTATGTGCCAAAGGAAACTGAGGAAACCACTGATACAGCGAGAGCTGAGGCGGTCACCCCTTTGTAAAAGCCCCGGACCTCGTGGGAAACAGGACAAAGGCGACTTTTAAGGGTCAGCGGCATGGGAAAGCATCTGCACAAAAGCACCGGCTGGGCATTGCTGAGTCAAAACAAATTCCCACCTTCCAGCTCACCTGCAAAGCTAAATTTCACCCTGAGGGCTCTCCCAGCTGATGCTGGCATGCAACAGGTGCCCATCGTCCCCGAAGTGACAGAGGCAGCTCTGCTGCTCTGAAACAAGGCACCTGCAGTGCTACTGAGGGCACCCACCTTTTCTGTCCTGTACGTTTCCTGAACACAGTGCCAAAATCCTCTGTAGTGGTTCTCAGTCTGAATTCTCACCTAGGAATACAGGGACAACATTAAAATGCAGCTATCATATTAAAATAAATAAAAAAAACAAATGTCGTAGCAGCAAACCAGATAATTAACCATAAAATAATGTGACCAAATGTGAAAAATCCATGTATTTTATGATTGGCTTTTCACAAATATTAAAATTAATATTATATGTGTTATGTTAGAAAGTAATGCTGTATTTATTCTATTAAGTAGTGTGTTAAATATAGTTTTATGTTATAAAAAATGTTAAAATAGAAACTATGCTATGTAGGATACTTTTTTTAAAGAAAGGACTTGCAGCAAGATAGCAGGCACAGGACACCTAAATCTTTCAGAGAAAAAGAATTTATTGTCCTCTTATCAGAAGAAACGAACTTCTTCCTGCCTTGAAGACGCTGTCAGGATTCTGAGGAAGGAGTTGACACTGACCAGACAGAATCCTGTATTTGAATGGAATTTATGCATCATGTATGAGGTGTATGAATATGCAACAGGGTATTGTTTTTAAGGGTTAATCCTCTGTTAAGGTGTCCTTTTTGCTGCCCAGAAGAAGGTACCTGGATGTCAGTAACTCTTTGTCTTTATTGTCTCATATTGTCCAAATTCAAATTGCCCAAATTATTATTAATTGTATTACTATGTTTATAACCATTTTATTACTATTAAACTTTTAAAATTTTAAAAACAAGTGATTGGCATTTAATTTCCTTTTTTTTTTTTAGAGACAAACACAACCATTTACAGTGAGATATGGAGATGTAATGCAGATAAAGTACTCTCATGGAACTATTTTTCTGAAAAGGAGGGGGAAAACAAAAGGGCCTCTGCGTTTTTGTTATATAGTCAAGAAATAAAGCTCCAACAGGTACCTTCACTGTGTCCAGTGGATAACCCACGGCTGTGCTTAGACCACCTGAAACAGAGAACATGTAGGAGATGGTTAACAGCACATGTCACAGCAGAACGGCACTGGGGAATAGCAGAAAACAGCTCCAGAGCCCAGCTGTGCCTGACACCACACTTCTCCAGCTCCAGTAATGGGCCATGAATGACAGAGAAAAATGCAAATTTCTGTGTGACCAAAGCTCACCCAGAGGAGGAAACAGAGTATGGGAAACTTATGAACAACAAGACTGAGCAAGATGAGGCAGGGAGAGACCCTGAGAGCGCTGCCCCACGAAGGATGCAGGGAGGATACCGGGCTGTGCTTGTTTCCCCCCTCAGCTTGGGCACTACAGCATCTTTGAGCTATGCCCAAGCGTCCCCACGCACAGAGCCTGGAGCAGTTTTGGTTTTCAGGCTCGGGAGGATTTGGGGCAGGCAGGGATTAGCGCTGGGAGGGTCCATAGGCTGCCAAGCCCGCCGCGGCAGCATCACATGCGGTGACAGCGTGTCCAATCCTCCAGCAACACTCCCTGGAGCTACTCCTGCAGCCTTAAAATAGCCCCTGGATATGCATTAATCCCCTGAGACAAAGCTTAATGGCGAGCAAGAAGGGCTAAAGAGCTCCCACAGGGATTTCTCTCTGTGCAACAACAAACAGATCTCACCTCACTGCATTTCTCAGCTCTGAGCTAAGTGCTAGCAGGTAATAAAGGTGCTCACCAGCAAACTTCCTCCCAGTACAACACCTGCCAAGGCACCTGAGAGGAAATCAGGCTGGAGAACAATGGAGCTATGTCCATGTGAGTCACTTAGACAGAGATCAAGTTCATGGAAGTGCTGGAAGAGCCCATCAGGCAGCCAGGCATTCAGAGACACATCTAGAGGCTCACCTGTTGAAAACTGCCTCTCACTGAGTTCTTCTTTAAAAAAAAAAAATTAAAACCCAAGCTACTTAAAAATGTGCTATTTGTGTGGGCATGTTCACCTCCGATTACATGGCTGCTCAGAGCTCTGGAAAGCTCTCCCATGTTCTGGAGAAAAGCAGCAGCTGCTGTTGTGAGTCACCAGGAGACAATCCCAAAGTTCATTACAGAGGAAAACAACCAACAGCATCTTTCTTGCAGAAAATTGAGGTTTGTTCTTCAAAAACACCTATCAAATCTGACACAAGATAAACAGCAATGAAGGGGGAAAAGGGCCTACTAGATAGAAGAGAGACAGCAAGGGGGAATACATAGGCAATAATATGGCTTGGAGAAGCACTGGCTGAGGTCCAAGCAGAGAGTGACAGTGCACAAAGTCATCTGGGGACACCTGTGCTGTCCCAGGCTCCTGGCCAGGGCAAACAGGGACACTGGCAGCCAGGGAAGGGCAGCACGTGGGCCACTGCTAGGATGGCAGTGCTGCCCTCACAGCTGCAGTGCCCAGGCCAAGCACCCCGCCTCAGCTGGGAGGTTCTGACACATCTCATCATTTTCAGAGCTCCTGAACCTTAGAGGAGATGGGCATGGGCTGAGCAGATGCTGGGGACACAGGGGCACCATGCACAGCTAAGTCCTGGCTCACTGCACCGGATGAGGAAGGTAGGAGCTCTGGCACATGCAGATCACACACCAAGGATGATTTGGGGCAGTGTTTGACAAGAACTGACCTCCCTTCTGGAGAAATCACCCTGTTCACATGATTAGATACAGAGACAGCATCACAGTAGGTTGCCCTAAACAGTCTCTTTCAGCCCTAAAGGCTCCCCATCAACCTGGTTCCAATAAGGATCAAACATCTCCACTTGGGAGGAGACCATAAAAGCAAAATTTTCACTGCTCCCAGCAAAGATGTGAATCCCGCAAACCTCCAAATAACCCAACCTGCCATGAACTGTGCTACTTAGGAGCACAAAGCACTCCAAGCAGTTTCCAGAGCTGAGGAGCTTGGCCAAGTCTACCAAAGGCTGAGGAATGAGGGCTCTGCACACTTTCACATGATATAAATAGCCTGGCACTAAGATAGCATGACCCACACATGCCCTGTTTGCACAGCAAAATCAGAGAAGGCCAGCAATGAACCGTGGGCATACAGGAGAAGCTTCCTGTGGGACTCCTGCTGAGTAACCCTGCATCAGCTGTGACAAAAATAAACAGCAAAACCAAGGGAATTACCTTTTTTGGTTTTAGTGAACCATTTTTATGCCTACTTTATCTGAGATATTCCTGAGTATTGAGCAGAGCTTACAGCATCCCCTACACACACAGAGTGCTCAGAATGGATCACTCACAGTCCTGCACAAGTCAGGTCACTCTGAGCCAGCAACTCAAATTAGGAGAGATTCTGGTGGGGTGCAATCACAAGGGAGCAAGTGGCAGCTGTACAGAGCCCACCAGGCTGCAACAGCCCTGAGCTGATGGCAAACCTTGCTGAGACACCCAGGGAGAAGCAGGGATCATTGTCCATGCCCTGGATGCGCTGACAGTGACTTTCAAAACCCTTTGTTTTGTGCAGAGTTGGATGTAGCTGTGATATTTTCTGAAAAATCCTTTCCTTAGGATTTTTCCTCCTGAGAAGCTGAGAGGCCTCAGGAACAAAATGTAAACGATGGTTATCTGCTGCTGTGGAATTCAACAGGTGGATCTGTGATTGGTCTCATAGAGTTGTTCCTAATTAATGGCCAATCACAGTCAGCTGGCTCAGACTCTCTGTCCGAGCCACAAACCTTTGTTATCAATCTTGCTTTTCTCTTCTTAGCCAGCCTTCTGATGAAATCCCTTCTTCTATTCTTTTAGTATAGTTTTAATGTAATATATATCATAAAATAATAAATCAAACCTTCTGAAACGTGGAGTCAGATCCCCATCTCTTCCCTCATCCTCAGACCCCTGTGAACACTGTCATAGTTGGGAACACCAGTGCCCTGACCCTAAGCAAGCTGAGCTTCACTCAGTCACACAACCCCAGCAGGAGCTGCTTTATCTGTAAGGAGACAGCATGTTCCTTCTAGAGGAGGATTATTTAATCTTTCTTTGGACTGCATGTAACCTCCCAGCTGTGGAAAAGCCCAGCCCTGCTGCAGGCCCTGCTGCACTACCACCACTGGGTAAACCTTGGCTTCACTTCCCCAAATCTTTACTCCTGACATAAGAGCCAAATCATCCTCACCCTTCACTCATCACCAGCCCCAGCCATCAATCCCCATCCCCTGCCATGGCCCAGGCTGCTGCTGTAGCAGGGCTAGAAAGTGTGCATGGGATCACAGGAAAATTCAAGTCAGAAGAGGCCTTAGGAGGTCTCCAGTCCAACCTCCTGCTCAATTTTACTGGCCAGGAAGGACTGCTTCCCAAAACATCCAGCTACGTTTGCTGGTTACAGAAAGTCTCCACAGTCACCAAGCATGTTTCTCTCATGTTTTTTCTACCTGGAGCCAGAGCAGATCACTGTTTCTGGGGCTGAAGATGCTGAGTTTCTTTACCTCATTTCCACAGAATCCAGAGGTGATGCACAGTATTTGTGCCGAGGCTGGAATTCAAATGGGCATGACCTCTGCTGTTTTTTAGAGGTGCTTAAGCCAGGCTTTCTCCAAGACACTCTGAAAACAGATCTAGGTCACTAGAGTGTCCTTTACTAAACAGAAACTCTTATTTTTTATGTTGCCTCAACTTGCTTGATGCTCTTTAGGTGGGTTCACAGAGTCCTTAGGAACATGAAAACTGCTTCAGCTCTGGCAAACATAAACCCCAAAACAAGCACAGCACCAAAACCACCCCAGTTCTTGCAGGATAGATGTCCAACCCCAGGAGCTATCCCATCTGAGGGGAAGGATGATGGCCTCAGCTTGTCTATGGGCAAGCTCCCACCTCTGCAGCCAGTGAGAAGTTGCAGCATCCCTCCTAGAAAAGCTCTGAGCTGGACATGGAGGACAGGATGGAAAATCTTGCTCTCTGTGAGGCTGAGGTCAGTGAAGTGCCTTACAACAATCCAAGACTTTTCTGGTCCCAGCTGGATCTCCAGAGCCTGCATCCCCTCAGGCTGAGCCTGTGTCCAGGGCACACAGGGGAGATTCTTGCTGCATGGCTGGGCAGAACACGATGCTGGAGCCTGGACAGGGGGTCACAGCACAAACCCTGGCCTTGCATGGGAGCCAGGGCAGAAAACCAAGGGGAATGGCCATGTTCAAACTCTGTTTTCAGCTCATCATGCTCCCTTACAAAAGAAGCTTGTCCTTAAGTAACCTGTCTCAAACTGTGCTAGAAAAGCAAAGGAGTCCAAGAAACAAATGCAATCATCTCTGCCCCACCATGAACATGAAGTCTGAGAGGTTTGGTTAATCCTTCTGGCATGGACATCTCATTGCCAGCCCTAGGACAAGGCTTCCATCTCCACAGAAGTCAGAAGGGACACAGCAGGAGAAAGAAAAACTATCATGGTGGGGCTGGTTAGATCCTCCTCTCCCAGGAAGGGTCTCCCAACACCCCTGGAAGGCCAACACCCCAAGCATGGGCACAACACATCTGCAGCAGGACCATAGGCTGTTCCTAGGGAGGGCAAATGCCAAATTTCAGTGAATGTCAAAGTGAGATCTGTCATGCAGGCTTGGGCTGGATGTCTCAGCCACCTGGTAGGTTCACCTGGCCTTTCTGTCAGTGGTGACAGAAAACCAAAGGCTTTTCTTGTGGTATCTATTGGTATATATCATGTATATATTATATATTTATACCTATATATACATACATATATAGGTATATATCTATATATATATGTATATTATATATATATAGATGTATATATAAAATATATATATATTGGTATATGTTATCTTATATACTCCACTAAATCTAACAAGATTTCAGCGAAGAACTGAGACCAGTGGGTACATTTTGTCGTTTAAAACAAAGATGGTTTTGAGCAGTACATGCTCTAAAAATGTCTAGAATTTAATCACACTTCTCTCCTGTTACTTTTTTTATATACAGCTAACCTACTTTCTCCCAGATCAAAGCCTGCTGCCTTGTGCTGAGATCACCATCACAACTGCAAATGCATCTTAACCCAAGATAGTGCAAAGGGCATTCATCCAGACAATCTGAATGCAGTAAGAACACGGTGCTTCCTCCCCTCCTGTCTCACAAATCACATCCTCAGCCCCCCAGAGCCACCATCCCAGCAGCCTGCTGGGACCCCTGCATGCCAGACACGTGAGGGTTTCACTGTCAGGGCTATACAAGCTGGCTTGTATCTGCACAAAACCTATTAGACTCTGTCTCTTCCTATTAGTTTTACCCTGTCCCAGTGCAATCAGAGTGGAGGAGACTGCAGGCAGTGACCTCAGCTGACCAAGCTGCAGCGCTGCCTCTCCAACAGCTCTGATGACATTTCCCACTTCATAAGGAAGAACACACTTTTAACAAGCACCCCGCCATCATGACTCTCAGCTCTGCTACTGAGAGCTGCTCCTCAGCTGAACAAGAAGGAAACACAGCCATCTGTTTTGGCCAACAAGCCCCAGTTCATGCATTTACCTCCGATGGCCCCAGCAATGAAATCCATGCAGAGCGCAGCTGCTGCCAAAACCACCCCGAGAGCGCTGGGGAGGAAGGGAGGGGACGAGGATCCAGTTGTCTTCCCAGAGCCCTGCCAGTCCTTCAGAGACACTGGTTTGTGACAGGAATCACCTTCTTACAGTCTGCCCTTGCCTCTGGGGGTTGTGAGCCTTGCGGGTACTGGATGAATCTGTACGCTGTGGCAGAGCTGGGAAGCCTGGAAGTGTTCCAGGAACAGAGTGAATAAATAATCCCGTGAAGCCCTGAAAGGCTGCGCCAGGGCTGCTGCTCCCTGTGCCCTTTTGCCTGGAAAGTCCCAAGGGGGGTGGCTCTCAGGGAAAGGCTTGTTGTGAGGGGACCATGCCCTGCTGTTGTTACCAACCCCAGAAGACAGCTTTGCACACTCGCTTGACAGAGGACACTGCTGGCCTGCACCACAGAGATGCTGCATTTGTGGCCATTTGCAGGAGAATTCCTCCTTCCTCTATCCCAGCCCACTCTTTCTCCTTCTGATGGACCACACGCCCTTTCCATTAATGGAAATTCCTTCTGCCTTTACCAAGCCATTTTTCTTGATTTTCCTGATGCAGGAAGCTGACCCTAACTTTTACATATATCCCCATAGATTATTACCCACTCATTATGTATACAAATTGTGAACCCCAATAATTAATCTAACCACATCCAGAGCATTTGCTTCTATTTCAGACAGCAGCAGCATAGTTCTCCCAGCCCCTGGGGCAGCTCTTCATTTCTTGCTCAGATTCCTAACCCCTTTCCAATGTCAGCTCCTTGTAGAGAGACCTGCTGATCAAAGGGAACCAGGAGTTCAAGGAAATGTCATATTGCCTGGTTTTGCACAACAGTCCTGTTACAAAAGGGTGCCTCATCTACATGTGAGAGGTTAAGCTTTGCCCAGAGAGACCCTGGAAACCAAAGTCCTGATGCAATGAAGGGCTTGCCAAGGCGTGACCTGAATTTTACCCCTCTTGTGGAGGTTTTCCCGGGTCAGAGCCAAGGTACATTGGCAGCAAAGGGAAAAGAAAATTTCACAGCTGCTGCCCCCTGGGTCAGCTTTACAGGGGAGCTGAGCACTTCAGTGCCCAGTGCCATTTCCTGCACATTTTCCAGGAACATATTTCTCACTGAAACCTGTGTTTTGGGGCTGCTGTGGCAGTGACAGAACAGCTCTGTGTGAGGGCAGAGTTTCTGGGAATTGAAAATGAAAGTATTTTTATTAACTTGCTTCCTGTGATTTCTTACGCATCCTTCCCTGAATGCTTTCTGTTCTGAAGAGAACAGATTATTCCAGTTTAACATCATGCAAGGACAGCAAAAAAACTTAAAACCACAAGTAAAACATTATCTAGAGAGGTAGCAATGTAGCTGCAAAAACACACTGGGTTATTTAGTAGCTCTTCCTTGTGTCCATACAGGAGTTTATTAATGGTTAATAACAGTCTGTGCATGCCAAGTGCAGGGAAATCTGTTGTTTCCTCTTCTCCCATCATCCCATTCTGCTGCTGTCCTGGCAGAACAGGGATGGGACCTGCTGTGTCAGTGACACACAGGGACAAGGACACAGTCCCCTGGGGAGGGGCAGCCTGGAAGCACATGGGGGTGGGATTTTTCTACACATTGCAGTCACTGGTGTCACATCAGTGAGAAAATAGAGGCTGGCTGGCATTTCACTCTGGCTGACTAAAGCATTTAATACTAATACTAATTATTATTTTCCATGAAACATCTAAAGACCAAGTAAAATTCCTACTTTCTTTAGCTGAGCTGAACAGCTCAAAGGGAATCTTCCTCATGAAATTGTCTGAGATTGTAAAAAAAACCCCAACCAACCCAACCCCCTTCCTTTTGTGGAAGAAAATTAATCCTTTGTTTATTTTTTTACCATCCATTCACACCAATGCTTCTAGCAAAATGTCACTTGCTTTATATAGCAGGAATCTGACTCTATAACCTGACAATGTTTTTGGTCCCTTCAATGGAGCATACCAGGAAAGGTCAGGTTTTCCATCTGACTGGAGCTGCTTTACAAAGAGAGGTCATTCAGAAGATGTCCATATGACAGAAGAATATTTTGGGGCTTGAACCATTTCACTTTGACCCATGAAGGTTTCCCTGGGACAGCCAGCTCTGAGGAATGCACACACAGAGCTGCCTCAGGGACATCTGTCTCAGCCAGGGCTTAGCACAGTAACATGAGCCTCAGCAAACACCACTACAGCACCCTCTGCTCCTGGTGGGCAGTCTGGACTTAGGGGAAAAGGGGATCCACTGCCAAGCTCAGCCTGGCCACCACGTGATGGCAGCAAGGCAAGAGTCCTCTGGAAGAGGAGCCCCACACCAGGGTTCAAGTGCTCACATGAGAGCAAATACTGAGGGAGGTGTAATCCTGTGTGGAGGACACCCCATCTGAGAAATGAAGCCTGTGTAACTGCTGGCACACTCCAAACAGCACAGACCAACTCCCTGTGGAAGAGAGGGATCCTCTTCCACAGCAGCAATTCAACTTCCCCTACCAGGAAGGGAAGGAATTCAAGGCAGCAATTCAGCTTCCCATACCAGGACTCCTCCCAGAGACAGAACCCTTGAAGTCTCACTCCTCTTCTTCTGAAGGAGCTTCCTCCTCCATCCTCTCTTCCCTACACTTCAGAGATTTACCAGCCTCATTAATTTACCCGAAACCAGCGTTATAGGTCAGTGGAGACAGTCCAGAAAATCCATCCCAATGAAATCTTGAGTTATCAGGCATTTCTCCAAGATGAAATATTAATCACTCCTGTCCCACTTTGACACAGTGTCCAAGCACTGCAGATCCAAAGATCACTGCTAGTCTAGCTTGCAAATAAACACCACGGTCCACATCTATGCAGGGAGGAGAGAAAGTGCTGGTCCTAACCTAGGTAGTCATCCCAAAGCAGGGCCTAGCAAATCACACAACAAACATGTTTTGAGCCTCCACAAGGGATAGCACTCCATGAGAAATAAGCCATTACTTCTTTCCTCCAGTAGCAAACTGTTCAAGAGAGATTTGTTCAAAATGGGCCAATTTCACAGGGGGGTTTGAGAAAGCAGAGCATGGAAGGTGCTGTCAGATAAAACCACAGCTCTGATGACATGAAGCAATCTGCTTCATGAAAATCATGAAATCATGAAACTGAGACTGCTAGGTTTGAGGATCTTTCCAAGTCATAACAGACTTGTGGGACCTCCCGGACGCATCTGTAAAGATAGTCAGAGCCCTTGATAAAACGGGAGGAAGGCCCTAATTTTGCCCAGTGAGTGATGGATGAAACACTCCATTTGCTTCACAGGAGGAGGCAGCTGTGTGCCCACACAGGCAGAGAGAACTGCTCTACTGCAAAGTAGCAGAGGGTCTAGAGGACTGGTACAAGTCATGGAGCAAAAGGAAAGGTGGGAAGAGAGCCTTCAGGCAGGCAGGCAGTGTTAAATAGTGTAGGGGGGTAGAATATAAGAAAATAAAGATAGTGTAGAAAGTAATCTTACCCCTAAGGAGTTGCAGCTGGGCCAATTAGCAAAGATTAGGAACAGGCCTGAATTTAACAGGCCACAGCTGTAACCAATGAGAAAAAGATGCTATAAAAGAGTTGGGTGGCTGGTTGAAAAGGGAATGGGAGTCTGTTGGCTGCTTTGTAAAGAAGAAAGAGTCAGTGCTTTGAGGAGATGCCCATGAGAGGCACCAAGAAGGTATGAAACTTTGGTGATAAGGAAACAACAGTATGGAACCCCTGCAATAAGATGACAACAAAATGGCATCATACAGGTGAGACAGAATAGCAGAGGCCTCCTTTTCCAGTCTTCTTCCACAGCTCACTCACAGGATTTTGCCAACTCCATCTGTCTTTCAAAGCCTGTCCCCTTTCTGCTCTGCTGCCAGCTCATCCAGCCAGGCTTGCTGAGAAAATGCTCCTTCCTCACTTCCTGCCACAACATGTTACATTTTCCATCCCACCTGCACTGTGCAATGCTGCACTCACATGCACACCATTAACTCCTGTCCAATTTCTTTTGGAAAAGTCCTTGGCTGGAGGGACTGTTCAAACAGCATCGCCCCGCTCCGCCCCCGGGCTGTTTGCACATTGCAGAACAGGAAAGGGTGACAGCAGTGACACCAGCAGTGCTGAGCTGGCAGGGCCTGGCCCTTGGCTCCAGTGCTGGGGGTGGGATGGGGGGTGGAACCTCCTGGCTCCAGCTGTGTTGTGGATTTTCAAATCAAAGCAGCTCATTGTCCTTTATCTCAGGTACTAAAGGAAAACCAATAATTCCAAGGACTTGAGAACTCACAGCAGGAATCTCACAGCAAAACAAACAGAGGCAGTAAGGAAAGCACTCTGAGCATTGGCAAGTGCATCGGGTATAAGTGATATGTGATTTCACCTCTGGAAAGCTGAAATAAGGATGTAATGTTTCTACACACATTCCCAAAGGCAGGGAAAATAGTACATTCCCAAGAAGCTGAAGATAATCACAGTAATTAAGGAAGTCACAGATTTTCTGGCTTTGGGCAAGTCATTCCTTCTCCCTACACCTAATCTTCTCACCAGCACAACTGGTGTGTCCACTGCCATGAAGACACTGCAAGGATCCAGACACTTCTCGGAGAGCCACAAGTCTCTGTTCAGGAGGAAATAATGGGAAAAAGTGGAAGTAACAATATTAGCACCCATCCTACACAAACACTCCTGTGAAATTACATGTATATTGGGAATTTAAAGTGTTACATAGATCTTTCCCCAAAATCATAGAATCAGATTTAGATTGCAAGGGACTTTAAAGTTCACCTGGTTCCAACCCTCATGCTGTGGGCAAGGACACCTTACTCTAGACCAGGTTGATCAGGGCTCCATCCAGCCTGGCCTTGAACACTTCCAAGGATGGAGCAGCCACAACTTCTCTGGGCAGCCTGTCCAGTGTCTCACCATCCTCACAGCAAAGAACTTCATTCTAATATCTAATCTAAACCTACTCCCTTTCAGCTTGGATCCATTGTAAGCAGTCCCTCCCCCTCTTTCTTGCAGGCTCCCTTCAGCCCCTGGAAGGCCCTGATTACATCACCCTGAGATGCACAGTAAAAAGGGGAAGTTTGTCAGTGCACCACCCCAGCAAGTTCTCAGGAAGGATTTTATACCAGCCTGCATTGCCAGCATTGCAAAAGAACTCCTTGCTGTGATGGAGGGAGGGGCTGTCAGGACTGTTTTGACTTTCTG